GGGCTGGGGAGGGAGAGGAGATTAGAGAGTGAGAAAAGGGGAGGGAGTGAGGGGGGAGGGAGGAAGAGAGAGCACAGTCTCCTCTACTTACAGCTAGACAGAATGATGTGTGGTATGGAGAAAGGAAAAAACCTCCCAAAGAAAACAAGCTGGTCATGGCCTTGTGTAGCCTTGACCTGCACTCCCCCATACCAATTTAGTAATTGATGAAGGATTAACAAAGCATCCATTTAACTTCAATTAACCTCCTATCCATCACAGGTCAGAAGAGAAAATTACCATTATAAAAGCATTTTATTAAAATAAAGACTAAAATACACATTTTCTTATAATTTATAATAATTACTTTAATAAATGCATTTTCTTTTAGATTTACATTATATTAGTTTTACTCGCCTGCCTCTTTTCCTTTAATAAAGCACACAGGGTATATTTAAAGTATTTATTCAAAAGACATCAGAAAATTTTAATTTTATAACTTTCCCGTATTTCATTGTGTCACAATCTTAATTTTCCAAAGTATCATTTTTACATAACTTCAGACTAAAAATAACTAGTAGCAGTAATATTACGGGGGTTGGGAGAGAACAGAAAAATGTAACTACAAAAATAGGTCTAGAATTTGTTTTACTATTAAGAATTTTTTTAAATAAGAGACAAGAAATCTGAACAAAAAGGTGTGCAAGTGTCTGACCCTGGCAGGTCCCCAGAGGTTCAACTCAGGCAAAGCTAGGAGTTGGAAATATAGAAGCTCTGACTCACTGAAGACCAAGAAAAGCCTCCTAGTGTTAAAGCACTATTTTCTTAGATGAAGCCATAGTAAAGTAAAAATTTCCCCTCAAAAAATATCAACAAAATAAAAATTCCCAAACCCTATCTTATTTCTCCCCATGCTACTCAAACTTGCATTATGAGGGAGCAAATCAGAAAGGCAGAATCTCAGGATCCCAGTCAAATCCTATTAAGTCAGAATCTACATTTTTAGTGATTTGTGTACAGATTAATGCTTGAGAAGCACTAGGTAGACTTATCCAGTCCAGAGCCATCTTGGATCTAAAGGACTCCACAAAATTTCTGGTTGCAGAGCTGCCTACTGAGTTTTAATCATAAACTTATACTCAACTAGTATCTCAGGCTACCCAGCAACATAGTCAAACTATTGATTTCACCACATCTTCCTTGAGTCATGTTCAATCTAGCCAAGGATAGACTTGCCCCTTGAGGCTGGGCTGAACTGACCCCAAAACAGATCTCCCAGAGAAATTGGGGAAAGGGTTTTAAAGAATGGCAATTTACTTCCTTCAGTTTTCTATAAACTCAGACTCTATTATACCTGAGCAGCTCTACCACAAGTCAGACAAGTCTTAGCAACAGGGTCATGAACTCTTTGGTCCAGTTTTCTATAATAATCTCTCTCCTGCTCCATCTCAAAATTATGGTTAACAAAATTATAACCATGAACCAATCTGAAAGAATCCATGTGCCCTCTTGCAATACGGGACCCCTCAGGGGATGTCAGAGAGCCGGTTTTGGCCCGATCCCCGCAGGCCAGGCTGAGGGACCCTACTGGTGCACAAATCTGTGCACCAGGCCTCTAGTATGCGTATAAGATCTTTGGTTAATCTCTTCCCACCCTCCCCCTTCCCTCCTTCCCTCTGAGATTCATCAGTCTGTTCCATGTTTCCATGCCTATGGTTTCCACTCATATGTTGAACGCCTGCCCCCTGGTGGTCAGTGTACATCATAGCTACTGGTCGAACAGTCGAAGGGTCAAACGGCTGCTTAGGCTTTTATATATATAGATGGTATAGACTGACAGATGTCAGAAGGGAGATTTGGGGGAGTCGGGGGTGCTGAAGGGATGAAAGAAAGTGAAGAAATAGCCTAAGAACATATATGCATACTCCATGGACACAGACAACAACATGGTTACAGCCAGAAGGAGGGTAGGGTGACATCTGGGAAGAGGGGAGGTAAGACAAGTAGGGAATAAGGGACATCTGTAACATCAACAATAAAAAGAAAATCATAGCCCAGCTGGTGTGGCTCAGTGGCTGAGCATCGACCTATGAACTAGGAGGTCACCGTTCGATTCCCTGCCCCAGTTGCAGGCACGGTCCCCACTGGGGGGACCACAGGAGGCAGCCAATCAATGATTCTCTCTCATCACTGATGTTTCTATCTCTTTCTCCCCCTCCCTTCCTCTCTCTGAAATCAATATAAAAACATATTGAAAAATAAAATCATAAGCCATCCAAAATCACAGAACTATGTAAGTGAAAAAGGCCTAAAAAATTCATTTTGATGAAGCTAAGGGCCAAACCTGCCAAAAGCAGCACAGCTAGCAAGTAGCAAAGCGAGAACTCATTCAGTGTTGCACAATGATTACTAATGCTAACTTTGTGCCAGGTAACAAAGTTATGCTCTGAGCCAAGTAACTTTGTTCCAAGTAACAAAGGCATGCTTGGGTCCACCTTGTGCAGTTTACATTCCAATTAACTAAAATCCAGGATTCCTAAATCCTGGTGTCCACTGTTCTTTCCATTATTGCACCAAGGTTTTTTCTAAGTAGGAAATAGTAAGTAGAAAGAACTGCTAAAACCAAGATCATAAGTAAAGCAAACTGTATGGTCCCCTCCTATATTACATCAAGTTTTTGAGCAAACCTAATATAATTTTTAAGGGGGGGGGGAGGGGGAGCCTAATCAGTCAGTTTCAAATTCTTGTACCTGACCTTCAAGTCACTCCATAATTCAAAATGCATCACTTACCTACCCGTCAGTGGGTCTTTACTCCTGTGCTGCCCAGATGTTCACCTGCCTTCACTCTGAAGGCCACATCCTTCCCATCAAGGTCTGACCTCCATGAAGCCTTCCCAATTACTCTACCTCAACATATCGTTCCCTTCTCTGAATTTCTGCTGTACTTACACGCAATACTATAGTTTAGTTTTTAGCTATTCTTTGAAATGGTAAAAATGCCCCTTCTGAATCTAAGCTAACATTATTTTATTCCCCATGTGGTCAGGCATATGCTAAAATTGGTAGATAGAAAAATGACTAAGACTAATCCCTGTCCAGCAAGAGCTTAGTCTTTTGATTGATATGTAAATATCAGCAATTACTATAGCCCCTAAGACAACACAGGGATAAGACAAGTGCTAAGTGATTATAGCATTCACTGAGCTGGAAAACTTCAAAGCAGAAAGAACTCTGAAAAATAATCTAGTTTTATGTATTCTCTAATTATAGGAAAATGGAGACTGAAGCCCAAAGAGGCTAAGAAACAGTCCAGGCTACAAAGCAGATTGGTGGTTGCTTTGACTACTAAGCCAAAATACCTTTAACTGTAATTTTCAAACTGAAGTCCAAGGATACCTATAAGTGTGTCCACACCTTCAAGATTTGTAATTTCTCAACAATTACTTTGTGGTTATATCAATAACAATTACTTTAAATTAACATAAACACAGAATCGTGTGATTTACAACTGGACACTACTACACTACTGGATTTCACCAGCCACTCCAGGGGACACATGGCCACGTTCCCTGAGGTCTGAGAACAATCTACACTTCAGCATTCTCCTTAGCACTGTGACTCATGCTATTTCACATTCTGGTCCATTTCAAAATCCTCTCTATTGAATACCAGCCAAAAGTTACCCATTCAGTGAACATTCAAGTCCCTACTATGCGGTCAGTGCTGTACTAGGAATCCTGGCTAGATGAAGAGTAAGCTAGAGAATGGGTGAAAAAGTGAGAGGCTAACTTTAAAAAGCATGTCCTCCACCACCTGATCCTGCCTCTGCCTGGCCCTCGAAACTGTCCAAAGTCCTTTACTAGAAGACTGCCTTTGCAAAGTTTTTCGAGTACCAATTTCTTTTCCCATAAGATTTATATAACATGCTCTCAAATATTTGTGGAATGTAAATTTCACTTAGCAGGTTATCAGCTGTCTTTTCGAAAGAGAATCCTTCAAAATGATATTCAGTACAGGAAATTAAATGCTTGACAAGGAAAAAATCATTTTGTGAAACTTCCTAGTTACACTGGGGAATCCTCTGCTTCTCTGCTTAAAATTATTGTTTCTTCTTAAACCTAAGAGAACATTGAAATAGTAAGCACATATCATCCTCTTTCTATTATCCCCCTTGATTCAACACCTTTGAGCACACAGGTGACCCTGGGCAAGTTTCTGGGTTTCAGTGCCTTTGTTATTAGTATGGTACACGGAGCCTGCCCGGAATACACTAACACAAGCGAAACAGTGTTACTCATTAGGAAATAGGTCCCTATTAGCCTGAATTGGTAGCAGCTTTCCAATACGGAGCACCCAGTGATTTCATTAACCTGTGGCTGATTTTTAGAGAATTTTTTTAAGTTTTCCCAGACTCGAAAAACAATGAAACAAATTGTCTCATACTTATTAGTATGATTAGCCTTCAATGATTTAAAACTAGCTTATTTCCCTTCAAGAAATGTTTGTTGGAATTGAGGCAGCGTCCATGTACTAAGTCCCCGGAGGGCGGGCCAGGCGCCGCCAGGCCTGTGGGCGGGATACTGAGCGGGAAGCCGGCTCCGCAGCCGGGCGGCAGGTCCCGAGGGCAGCTCACAGGGACAGAACTCGGCCGGTCACCCGCACTTCTGGGCTGGTTCTGCAACGGCACCTACCTCCAGTGGAACCGGAGCCGCCAGCTGGCAAGGCTACGACTGTGACAGACGCCTGGGAAATGCCCAGTGTAGCCCTGACCAGACGCAAATGGGCGCAAGCCGCTCCTACCGCTCGCCTGGCACCGACACATCCTCAGACCTAACTCGGTGGCCCCGGCCCAGGGGGCAGGACAGAGCCCCCGGGGCCGGCCCCGCGGGGCGCAGGCGGCTACCAGACTCCCCACCCGGTCGGACAGAGGATGACGACCGGCGCGGGCCCACCACCGCTCCCACCCGCCTCTCCGGAAGCTGGCTCGCCGCCGCCAGGGCATCCAGGCTCGACACGTACCTGGGCCTCCCTGCCTCCCCTCCAGCAGCTCGGACCGGGTCCCTGCCGCTTCCAGGAAAAGCTCTTGGGCGGCGACCCCCAATCGCCAGCCTCCACTTCCGCCTGCCCAGAGCGCCGAGGGCGTCGATGCGCCGGGCAGCCGAGCGCCGAGTCTGCGATGGGCCCAGGCTGGGCGAGGAACGGGGGGGCTGGGCGAGGAACGGGGGGGCGGGGCGAGGAACGGGGGGCGGGGCGACGGGGCGGGGGCGGGGCGAGGACGACACACAAAAGCCACAGGACCCTGGAAGTTGTGGAGGAGAAAGTCATTCTGCAGCCTGCAAGGCCTGAGCGTTGATCGTTTAAATTCAGCTAACTCGGTGAACACACCGTGGCACAGGCGCTACGTGTACGAAGGTGGATGACAACAGGGCTGGGCTGAGGGTAACCCATGACATGGCAAGAGGACAAGGAATGTCACTTAGGAAGCAACTGCAGCAATCTAGGCAGGAAATGACATGGGGGATGGTGGAAGGTGGTGCGGGAAAATGACAAAATACTCTTCTGGTTGCTTCTATTTTATTAGCCAAAGAAGCAGCAGGATCGTCGGTGATAATGGAGGATGAGGGGCAAGGAAGGTTTGAGGAGAAAGAGTGAAATCTTTGTCTTGGATATTGTGAAGCAAATTACTAAGAAAATGTGGTAAAACTTCTTGGGATGTGTCATCCTAAGTATTAGGGTCACCGAAGGAGGAACAGAGTAACTCATGAGGCCAGAAGGGGTAAAGAATTATAAATTTAATATTACATCTGCTAGCCGAAGGGCTCAGACCAACATAGTATCAGGGGGAGTGGGATATTTACATCTCTTATAAAGGTCAGTCAGAGTAACCTGTGGAACCAGGTATAGGCGATCCACTGGAAACGGTTAGGCAGTTTACTGGAAAGGGAAGGCCTTAATCATGAAACCTACAATCCCCAGGCGGGGCAAGAGCCCCAAGTGGGGCATAATGGAACTCAAGAATGGGCCTAACACTAAGTTTAAAATAGAACCAGTCATCATGCTTTTGTATGTTTTGGCCACCGTGGTGTAGGTAGGTAGTAGAAAACTATTTGTAACTATGGTTGGAGTTTTACAAGGCAGAAGAAGCAAAAGAGTTAAGAGTCTATGCAAAAAAAAAATGACATTATGGAGGATGATGGAGTTTAAGCTTGTGTGACAGGGTTTTCAGAGGGATTTTTATAGTAATCCAGGAATTGCCCACTGAGATTGGAAAAGGTAGCCAATAACTAGGGGGTTCCAACTCTGCATGCGATAACTTTGTTTCTTATTTGTTTTCCTGGCTTAATCATCAAAAGTGCCCTTTTTACTGTGAAAAGTGTCCCTGTTTGGACAATATATGGTCACCCTAAAGTCACTCCACATCACACAGAGAGCCAGAAACAATTGGGGTCAGACATTTCTTTGAGGTTTGGAAGGTATTCACCCAACTAGCTCTGAACCAGGTTAGTATCAGGCATGCAGGAAGAAGCTTGTGCTTACTGCCATCAGAGTGGAGCTGAGGATGGGGTGAAGTTCTTGGGAGAATTTACCTGCCATTGGGACTTTATGTGACCAAGAGTATGCTACCTGCTTCCAGACCAGAACTTCACAAAGGTAGGAGACGTGTTGCAGTGACCAGTTACAGCTGAGTAGAGAGGAGCATAGCCATGAAGCAGAGGCATAACCATGGTGAGGGTGTTGCCAACTCTCACCCCAAGAACTCACACATGCACCACACACAAACTTCATCTTTGCCCACCTGTATGTGTCACATGAATGCCCACCAGAGAGCATCCACAGGAGAGGGGCACCAGTGCCGAGGAAATATGACCAGCCTCTGTCCTGGGTCACTCCCATATTTGTACAATGGGCCTATGAATGGAGTAGCCATGGTGGCAGGGATGGCAGATCTAGACAGAATGACCACCCCCTTCACCTGCAGTGGCCAGTGTGCAGCCAGTGGTAATGTACCTTCCCTTGCTGGAGGCAAAGACCAGCAGTAGTTAGCATAATAAATGTGAGAAGTCCATCAGAAGGCTGATGGACTTTGATATTCAGCATATTATTACCTGCTGCTGGCTGAACAGCTAAAGGCAATTCCCCTAACCTGATAATCCTTTATTGTTTACCAAACCTTACCATTGATGTGTGTTAGCTTTGCTAAAGGGCATATGTATATTCTAGTAAATAAAAGCAAAGGGGATGGAAAAGTCAGAGAACCACTCCACTAGAGTACGTATCTGTCTGGCTCCCCCAATGCCTTCTAAATTTATATTTCTTGTCTAGTGTATCCATTTATGTGTGGCCCTTCTCCAGATTCCTGAACGCTTGCTGCGAAAAGATTGTGGTATTCCCACAAGAAAACCAGGCAGTCAGTTGGCAACAAGTTCATTTCCACAAACCCAGATACATATCCTAGGTTTGGGTTTGTCTTCCTGCCTGCAGGGCCCTGGCAAGCATTGCTATTGGGTTGCTCACATAGAATCTGATTGTTCATTGTTGGGATTTCCATAATATCACCTGGGACCAGGAACTCTTTTTACAGTTAAAGAGGTATGAGAAAGGGAACAATACCACAAGATCCACTGCCATACATCACACACTCAGAAGCTGTGAGATAGAGCATAATGATAGAACATTAGAATAGCCTCTAAAGGCATAGCTAAGGCTCCAGCCTGTGGATGATATTTCTCAGGGTTGGATTGCTGTGCCAAAGGATACAATATATATTTTGGTGTATATATATCAGAGTGCTGCCTCTCTGATTGAGTCCTGGCTTTTCTATCAGGGGAAGATGCTCTGCCAGGGGACAGAAAGTTCCACTAAATCTAAAGGCCTCTCTTCATTTGGGCTTCACCATAAAGGCAACAAAAATTGACCCTTATCATTAGAAGGAAATGGGGCAGGGAGGATTATTTCTGGAACTTAGGACACTCACTGGACATCTTTTCCATGCTTGGTGATGGACATGGCAATAAGGGATTATACCCTACCTAGCCTGGGACAAAGGGACACAGGAACAAAGATGTAGGCCACTTGATCAAGGAAGCAATCCAGGCTAGCAGAAGTGTTAGTCCAGGGGGAAGGGATCTAGAATGGCTAATACAGGGGTACATAATGGGGATCACCATGGCCTTAGGTACAACTGTAGCAGGAACCCATAGCTCAACTTATCAATACTCCTGATGTGGATATGATGACATCAGTGTGAGGAATCAGTAACAGGGAAAACTGAACACAACACAGCATGTAAAGGATGGATAGTAACAGAGGCCATCAAAGCTGCCCCTTTGTACCTCACAGCTTTTTTTCCTGGATCAGGGCAAGCTGGACACACTGACCAGAGTTCACTGGACCAGAAGTAGGCTTCACCCAGTCAGGCTGCCTCTCTGCTGGGGTAGCTGGGAGGCATGTTATTCAGTGTATGCCAGAACTTCCCTTGCGACTGAGCTCCAGCATCCTCAGGAAGGCCTTCACAGCACACCTTTTATTGACTTCCTTCCCTTTCCCCACCTGGCTTTCCCATACCCCTCCTGGTGTCTCCTGCTACTCCCTCCCAAGTTAAATACTATCCCTTGAAACCATATCTCAGGGGTGGATTCTGGGAGAATCCAGCCAAGATAGTCATTATCATAGCCAGTGGTCAGCAAACTGCGCCTCACGAGCCACATGCGGCTCTTTGGCCCCTTGAGTGTGGCTCTTCCTAAGCCTTAGGAGTACCCTAATTAAGTTAATAACAATGTACCTACCAATATAGTTTAAGTTTAAAAAATTTGGCTCTCAAAAGAAATTTCAGTCGTTGTACTGTTGATATTTGGCTCTGTTGACTAATGAGTTTGCCGACCACTGTCATAGACCAAAAACAACCTACACTTATATGACTCAAATATCTTTATGTGTTGAATTTGCATACCTGTAATACATCCCGAGAAAAAGAAGGTGATATTTGTATGGCTTTGAGTTCTGAGACTTAGCATGACTTCATTTTTCTCTCCTTTACATGGGAAGACTCCAGTGAGCAATAGCTCAATGTCCTGGGATCATCCATTTAAAACACAAGAAACACGAGTCAAAGGCCTGGCAGCAGAGCTTGAAAGGAAATGAAGTTTTCTGTGTCCCTGGCAGTGGTACCCTGCTTGTGGTGAAACGAAACCCTTTCTTGTCTCCCCTCTGTGTCTCAGTGACAGGTCATTTCTCAAGTGAGGAGATCCTACCGTATGAATGGCTCTTGAGGATTCACAGATCTTTCCTGGATTTTTTTTTTTTTTTTAAAAAAGATAATACAGTACTGCATTCCTGAAACAAAAATACTCAAAAGAGGAAAGAGAATCTTATGCTAATATAAGAACTCCTGATGTTGTTTGTTTGTTTGTTTGTTTGTTTTTTATAATTGTCACTATTTATTAAGTGTGTACTGTACAAATTTATGCTTAATTTGTGAGTACATTGTATGTTATAGGCCATAAAGTGTTGAACTTCTATTAATGGATTTTTTAATTTCCTGTAATGTCCTGCATTCATAGAGATTTTTAGGTATCTTCAATGATATGTGTTTGAATTGGAGCAGACCCAATTAACATTTGCAAGCAGCACCGTCTGCACCTTATTGGGCAGAATCTATATACTGCCGTGATTCCATAAGACCTTTGCATTCACATAGCATTATGTAATGTGGTAAGGGTTGACACATAGCTAATGAATCCATGAGATTAGATGTCGTAGACCAGTGTTGGCGAACCTTCTGAACTCCGCGTGTCAGCATTTTGAAAAACCCTAACTTAACTCTGGTGCCGTGTCACATATAGAAATTTTTTGATGTTTGTAACCATAGTAAAACAAAGATTTATATTTTTGATATTTATTTTATATATTTAAATGCCATTTAACAAAGAAAAATCAACCAAAAAAATGAGTTCTCGTGTCACCTCTGACACGCATGTCATAGGTCCGCCATCACTGCCTTAGACCATTTGGAGTGCTATAGCAAAATACCATACCCTGGGTGGCTTATGAACAACAGAAATTTATTTCTCAGAGTTCCGGTGTCTGGGAAGTTCAAAGTTTAGTGTCTGAGGACTGCTTTTCTGATTCATACGTGGCTGTCTTTCCCTCTGTCCTCACATGCCATAAGAGCAA